TAAATAAGCTCGACACAGGTAAATCCACGGGGCCCGATGAATTACATTCTAGGCTACTGAAGGAATTATCTAACTTCGTTGCGAACCCTTTAAGTATATGCTTTAACCTATCCGTAACGCAGGGTCGTTTACCGAAAGACTGGAAAAACGCCATAGTAAGTCCTGTCTTCAAAACAGGTACGAAACACAAACCTGAGAACTACCGCCCCGTTAGCCTCACTAGTGTGGTTGTTAAAATCTTAGAAAAGATTATTCGGAAGGAGCTGTTTAAGTATCTCGATAAAAACCGGATCCTCTCGGAGAAGCAGCACGGCTTCAGAATAGGTTATTCTTGTCTCACTAACTTGTTAGTGGCTCGTGGAAGCTGGTGCGCTCTTAAGGACCAAAAGCTACCTGTAGACGTCGCCTTCATTGATTTCAGCAAAGCTTTTGACAAGGTTCCACACAACCGGCTGTTATATAAGTTAAGAAAAGTCGGGATTGGAGGCAATTTATTGATGTGGATAAAAGACTTCCTAGTTGGGCGTCAACAAAGAGTAAAGGTGAACTCAAAGTTATCTAGCTGGGAAACTGTGCTTAGTGGAGTGCCTCAGGGTACGGTTTTGGGGCCAGTGCTATTCCTCTTGTATGTAAATGACCTTCATCGTCTCCTATCATCATCGGTCTTGCTATATGCTGACGATGTCAAGATATGGAGAACGATACGATGTAAGAGTGATAGCTTAGAACTTCAAAATGACCTGAAGAAATTATCTGAATGGTCTCAAACCTGGCAGTTGCCGATACATACTTCCAAGCGTGTTGTGATGCATGTCGGTCATCAAGGCACAGATACATACACGATGAATAACACTGAGCTACCTGTCGTCCAGACATATAATGACTTAGGAGTTTTCGTTAGTCAAGACCTAAAGACTACTGCACAATGCCGTGCAATAGCCGCCAAAGGTTTTAGAACCTTATGGTCAATACGTAGGGCTTTTAGTCATGTCGACGCTAAAACGTTTTTGACTTCGAATGCAGTGTTCGTACGTCCTAAACTTGAGTACTGCATATAAGCGGCTAGCCCCTGCTTAAAAAAGACAGTGAGCTTCTGGAAAAGGTTCAGAGAACGGCGACTAAGCTGATTCCGTATGAATCTCGACTGGCCAAGCTGAACCTTTTCCCATTGTCATATCTCAGAACTAGAGGCGACTTGATTACAGTCTACAACTTGCTTAGTGATAAATTTGCACCTGATATGCCCTCATTTTTCTTGTCTTCCAAAACAGAGAATTAACGAGGACACTCCAAAAAAGTTCATAAGCCGAGAACAAATTACTTGTCACCTGAATATCGACTTTCCCATCGAAACATCAACGAGTGGAATTTGTAGAATTATGGTCTACTATGATATTAGTACTGCTCTTATAATAGACCTAATCCTAAATTTATAGATTTGTCATGATATAACTGCCTAATCTATAAGATCTTACGTGGAAGTCACACCATCGACTACACCAACTCACTGTATCGCATCAATTACCAATACATGATGTAGAACAAGGTTAGGCTAGAGAAAGAACAATATATTTAATATGAATAGAAGATATAAGGTAACATTCAGAAGGACCACGCCTGCATGGTCGAGCCATGCCATCCGATCAACTCCAATCCATTCAATTCATTGTTCGCGCCTTCTTCATTGTTAGGTATTTATCCGCGTTAAATATTGAGTATCTATTTTCTGAGTAGTCTCGTGTTCACAGCTTTGTGGATTGTGCGGTAATTGTCCAATGCCACTACAAATTCACTACCTCAGCACGTGATTGAGGCTCCATTTACACTACGAGAGGCGAAAAGGCAGAATATACGTATTCTTTTCATTTTTAATATTGGAATTATTCCAAACATCAACCCGTAAGTGACATTCATGTGATGCAACTAGATATAGTCTGGACAGTCTCACTTTCATTCATCGTATGTTCCCTGAAAATGCTTTGATCAACAGGCAATCCATAGGTGTAACAGAACTATGGCAGTTGAAGGCTTCAACTTTGCAGACAGTATCTGGTAAATATCTAAGACTATTACTTGGAACAAAATGAGGTCGATATATTGCGTTAGCCAGTTGCACATGTTTCAGGGATATGTGAACTGGTGAGATGTAAGTTGAAATGCCGAAGGCAAGATATTGAAGTAGTTGTAGTTTATCGCAGTCCAGAATGTGTAGCAGATGATTTTATCCTAAGTAAACTTAAGTCTTGGTGTAACAACGGTAAAAGCCTTGTAGTAGGCGACTTTAATGCACCATATATCAACTGGGTTAACTTAGAAGTAGGATCATCCATATCGTCGTTCGACTCCAAACTGTTAGAAACCACGATTGGATTAGCATTATTCCAACACATTAGAGATCCCACAAGATACAACTTAAGAATCTCTTCTTCTCTTTTAGATTTAGTCTTCACACACGGTGATGACGTTGGTCAAAAGGCTTTTCTCCAACACTTGGGAGAAGTGACCATGCAGTCATCTTATTCAAATTCATGGCTGAGATTGCTTGTCGAACAATTGTGCCGGCCCGTCCTGACATATGGAAGGCAGATATGCAGGCAATTAACTCCGCAGCATCGGCTGAGAAACTGGAAAATTGACTCAAAGGCATCAGTACAAGAGGCATGGACTCTATTCAGGCAGTTATACAATCGGGTAACTCAACCATACATACCCTGGACTGTCCCAAAGAAAAAGAAGCACGGACATCCCTGGATAGGGCGGGATATTCGACGCTTACTAAGACAAAAGAAGAAATGCTGGGATGTTGCCATCCGCCTTGGCACAGCAGGTACGATGGAACGCTACAGATCGATAAGAAACGAGTGTATAACTAAAATTCGGGAAGCGCAAGGAAAATATGAAATGCAGCTGGCACAATCTGCACTCAAGCAGCCCAAGAGGATATTCTCGTACATAAACAAGGATTCATCATTGGATTCCCAACCTAATTAAAGTAGGAAGTGAATCTGAAATGATAGAGGAAGATCAGGAAAAAGCTGAGGTTATGTCTGACTACTTTGGGGGAGTTTTCACTCAGGAACCTCCTCTAGAGGAAGAACCAGACCCAATTACAGAGTCAAAAAGCCAGCTGCTCACCGTGGACTTCGACCAAAACGATGTGCTCAAGGCTCTTAGCACCCTAAACATGGAGAAGTCAACAGGACCAGATGAACTACACCCTAAAATCTTGAGACATATTGCCCAATATATCGCAGCCCCACTGACTGTGATATTCAAAATGTCACTTGACCAAGGTGTGTTACCTATGGACTGGAAGGACGCAATCGTCACTCCCATACATAAAACGGGTCTACGACAAGTTCTATCGAATTACAGACCCGTAAGCCTCACCAGTGTTGTAATTAAAATACTGGAAAGAATAATCAAACGGACCATAACGTCATTTATGGAAACCAATAACTTGCTGAACATGGCACAACATGGTTTTAGAAAGGGTCTATCCTGTACAACGAACTTCCTTATAGCTAGGGAGCTCTGGATTAATGCGCTAGACAACGGAAACTCAGTGGATGTTGTCTACATAGACTTCAGTAAGGCTTTTGATAAGATGCCAACTAATAGACTGCTATTGAAGTTGGCAAACCTTGGTATTGCCGGACCTCTTTTAAAATGGATTAAGGATTTCCTAGTAGGTCGTAGGCAAAAAGTAAGAATAAATTCCAAGTGCTCCATCTAAAGACCAGTACTTAGTGGAGTACCCCAAGGTTCCGTCTTAGGTCCTTTACTTTTTATAATGTACGTTAATGATCTTACAAGTATAGTACAGTCTCCAATGTTATTATACGCTGACGATGTAAAAATTTGGCGAGTAATAACTGGAGACAAAGACGCATTTACTCTTCAGGCGGACTTAAATAATACGATAAACTGGTCTAAAGGGTGGCTGATGCCTATCAACTCGGAAAAGTGTGTCTACATGCACTTGGGGGATTCAAAGGTTAATACGTACAACATAGGGGATGTGTCATTACCCGTAGTCCGGTCTCATAAGGACCTAGGGGTGACAGTGAGCAATGATCTTAAGAAGACGGCCCATTGCCGGGAGGTCGCAGTTAAGGGGTTTCGAACCCTCTGGGCTTTAAAAAGGACATTCACTAACTTTGATACTACCATGTTCACCACATTATACACATCCTTAGTGAGAACTAAGTTAGAGAACTGTGTTCAGGCAGCAAGCCCCTGTTTAAAAGGTGACTCAGACATACTAGAAAAGGTAATGAGGGCAGCTACGCGTGCAATTCCGGAACTCCGGGGTTTATCATATAAAGAGCGGCTTGAAAAACTGAACCTCTTTACTCTGTCCTATCGCAGACTAAGGGGAGATCTAATATTGATGTACAGAATACTGAGAAATGATTTCGGACATAACTTATTCTCTCTCTTTCTTCCCACTAGATCGAGACACCTCAGAGGACATAGCAGGCGAGTAGAAAAGCCAAGAACGAACAAAATACCCGTGGCATACAGGTTTTCACACCGAGTCATCAATACTTGGAACCTGCTGCCTGAAGCAGTGCTGTCCACACCTTCAATTGACTCTTTCAAGAGAAGACTGGACACTCACAGAAGCATACTAGAAAAGGAATAACATAGGCTGTAGGCCTTCTGTCCTTACTACACAATTCTGAATCTGAATCTAAATTTATTGGATGTTGAATGCACAACAACCTTGAGTGGTCATTGGTTAGCCGTTGTGTTGCTTTGATATCTCTACACATTACAAGTTGATTTTTAGTTTACACACTCATCAGTAATTCCTGTTGGTTGTCGTCGTTAGTAAATATGATAACAGTGTTTGGCTTTTGAATTAACACTACATATTTTTCCTTTTAGAATATCGTGGTGTCTGGTCCGCTGTCATTGTACCTCGTCTGCGCAAACGTAAATTACATAGACGCAAACAAACTACTAGCTGGCCTTTTCAATTAATAGTGGCGATAATGCATAGCGTTTCGGAAGTACGAATAATTTCTCTCGTTAAATTGCTTAGCACGAAGACCCTGACCTATATTTTGAGCCTGTTATTGCTCTTCCCCCTTTAACAGTCTGTAGTTCCGAGGAGAATGAAGAGTGCCTATTCAAACAGTACCTTTTAATTTAAATCAGGTCACTTGATCTTTCAGGAGAGCACAACTGTTTCGTTTCGACACTATTGACGATCCCCCAGAATGGAAGGAGCGTGGGGTTGGAGTGCTGAAAATTCTACGTAACAGGATCAGTGGATGCTATCGCTTATTGATGCGTCGAGATCGCACGTACAAGGTTCTTATACACGTTGCTTTACAGCAATTTAGGTTTGTGCCAACCATTATCTCCTCAAAAATATGTACTTACGTCCAAACTGCAGCAGCAGTAGAGCTTTTGTCTGGAGTACGACAGCTGATTTCGCAGACGAGGTGGTAAAACCAGAGTTATTGGGTGTTAGATTTGCTAACTCTACATGTACGTATTCAATATTATTTCAGAGACTTTCTATCGTCTCCCGAAATATTTCATTACGTTCACTACTGCAGTTCAATGGCACTTAAATTCCATTGAATATCTGGATGTTTGATTCCTTGCACTCGTGAGAGTTTGTCTAGTATCTTAAGCTCAAACCACCAAGATGTCAGACTTTCCAAGTCTTTAGGTCATGTTGCTTTGATGCATACCAAACAAAGCGTTCATTCAAACCTTGGTCCTTTAATTTAAACGACAGATTGATCTATGTAGGTCATTATCTTTTTTATCCATGGCAGTAAATTTAGATTACCCTGACTGTAAAACCTCGAAATTTTAGCCTCTCAAGACACCAGAGAAATATCATGGTACAATTTATGATCCCATTTTTTAAAACCACTGATACAAATGAGAATCATAGAAATAAGAAACTTATGGAATAGCTGTTTGACCGTCTAGATAAGAGTAGTCGACAAATGGAAGTATCACACCCCTATTTCAATTCGGTCTGCAGGTTCCGAAGGAAATAACCCTTCAATATGTAACATAAACGAAGTGAGACCCGTATATTCCTACCGTATTACTCAATGACGTACGAAAAGAGTACCAATAAACAAAAACATTACCTGTCTGTATGAGGTAGATTCGGAGTAATAAGCAATTAGTACATACCCTCCACCACAATCGGTTCTGATTCTTTCCGATCCCTGTCTGCCATATAGAGTTCTAGGCAAGGAGCTTTCTTCGTCTAGACCAGGTCAGTGACTACGCACTTGTGTTGTGTCATAGCCTTATGATAGATTTCCCCCCACATACTCCACTCACTTCTTGGTACAAAATGTCCGGGCCATCCAATCCGGCTACCGATCTTGTAATATTGACGTTCCTTCTTTCCCTGGAACTTCACTCGTAATATAAATAACTAGATAGTTCAGATAGATAGAAATGTGATCATTTAAGACGTACTATCTGTTGAGGTTTCATTCAAAACTTGTAACGAAATGTATTCAAAGAAACTCTTCAACTTCATTTTGAGTATCGGGAAACGGTATCAGTAATATTTCGTATAGTTTCACCATAGTGGCGATAGATTCCAGAACGGCTGTGATTTTGGCGAAGGCGAATGAGCCAACTCTGCTTCGTTTTCCTGCCTTCATTCAGAATGTGTCTGGATAAACGAGTGCTTGAGATAAATTCATCCAACGCAACCCGTATTTGGCCTCTTATTGCCGCCGTCACAAACGGCGTTAACTCAAGTTGAATATTTATGTTCATAGCATACCCATACGTACATCCAAATCGGAGATAAACGAAAGGGTCACCGAAAGGTTATGTAGAAGGGTATTCCATAAAATTATTTCTATTGGCTTAGTTTTGTAGCTCATTTATAGGTTAAGGTTGCCTGCGCTAGGCCACACTTAAGGTCGTTGATACTATCTGGTTACCCAAACCAAAGTAGGTGTTCCAGGCTTCGAAACCGGTACCTACTGGTAAAATGTCAAGCTTTCTAGCCACAAAGCTACCGTTCCACTTATTAACCTGGTCTTAAACACAGTTTGACCGTGCATTCATCGGCCATTCAGGATTTACTCACCGCGTTGTTTCAATGCTCTTTAAGGAAATTTACCTCATACAAACCACAAGTGTTTGTTTTCTCCACATGCTATCACTTTTTAAACATTTGCTACTGGTATAAAACTTGTAAGCAAGGAGACAAGTATATGACTGAATCCTATGATAAAACGATAGATATGAAGGTAAAACAATATGTTCTAGGCTGGACTCATCTTCCAAAACTTGTGGTATTGTAGTATCATCGACCTTCAGCAATCGTTAGTTAATGTAGTGTGGCAGCTTAAACCGGTGCACATGACTGGCTGAACGGTCAGCTGACATCACGAATTTGACTCTTGACTGTATACCTGGAATTCTTTAGGGAAGTGGACATCTCCGAACATCACAGATATAACCTGATAGTTAGTCAAGTTGTTCGTGCCCGTGAAGCCTTTGTCAACCAACTCATTATATCTAATAAGTCCACTACGGTAACTTAATCAGGATACTAAAGTAATCTATTCTGTAATGTCGGTGTGCTAGGTCCAGTGTTTGTGTGTATTTCATTTATCACTTCGGGTTGATCACCGCGAATCGCTGATATTTTGACTATGCTTTCACGTTTTCTGTTATCGTGTTTGTTTATAGGTATTTGGATTGATCCATCTCTTATGAAGTAGTAGCTTGTTTTGTCATTTAGACCACTGCTTTAAGCTTCAACTAATTACTTTCCGAATGTTTTTAATTGGACGGGATAATCTAGAAATGTTTAGCTTGTTATTCGTAGGTAATAATGATTTAAGAAAATGCTTTTATAAGATGTTGCTTCTCTTGTAGTTTGTTAAATACATGGTCATTATTCGGTTTGGTGTGATCTTAATTTTTGTTTTGTTTTTTTAAGATGCAGAAGATTTTCGGAAAGTTTTTGAGGAAGGTTGTCAAGCAAGTGATGATAAACTAACTGAGAATAGTAAGTCATTACATAAAGTCCTTACTTAATTACAAATATGTGTTTCCAAGAAGAAAGCGTGTATTATTTCAGTTACATACAAATTTTGTTGTTGTTGATGTTATGTCTAGTGTTTTCTGATGGCTGGCAGAGATATTCGTGACGTAGGTCTTTAATTGCAAGTTTTCAGTGTTGCTTGCATGCATCCTGATAAGGAGATTACTAACTGACATTTAACACTATAGCTGGCCACTTTTTATTCACCGAGCGTCGTTTGTTATTGTTTTTTATCCTACTATTTTTGCCTGATCAGATCAAACACTTCTGTACTTCATATCAATCATTTGTGAGCTGTCTGCTATATGGGACATTGAGTTTTAGGGAAAGCTATTGCTTCTTCATTGTCTCTAGATACTCTCCTATTAACAACAACCTGGATGAAGTCAAAAATATATTTTATCGAAAACCGTGATGTGGTAATCGTAGCGGACAAATTTATTTTTAGCGAACCTAAACGTCAAGCCTGAAAAATCCCTATTTGGTTTGTTGACTCCCGATATAACTACTACGGTGGGACCAACCTTATCGATATTAGTTTTAGCTGCAGAGCATCAACGGAATGCTGTCGCCCCTTTGAAATTACATATTTGTCTAAGTCTGGAAAATCTGTTAAAGCTTTTGTCGATGGCTAAAATGTTAATATGTTTAGGGAAGAACTAGTTAAGGACTTAGGCAATCATTAAAGGGCTATTCATCAAAGTCGGTCTAGAACAATCTGCACTGCGGTACAGAGGTACAAGTTATGTTTGTTAGTAACGTAGACAGAATGGTAAAGAAGGACCAATGGACTTAGGAAGCCAGTTGAGAAGTATATATCCAAAATGATAAATTCTTTGCTTTGTGACAATCATATTAAACACGTTAGTCCTCATAATAATACATGATTTAACTAACCCAGTCATTGACATTTTGACTCCACAGAAGTGTCCGTATGTATTTTATATCATAGGAACCTCAAAACATCAAATTACGTTGCTTTATGGATCACTTTTGAGACTCCAAAGTCCTTATCTAATACAGTTAATACAACTCATCAACCTAGTTTGTAACTAAACACTTATAATATATGTTTGAATCACCTCAAAATATGCTTAACATGGCATATTATAATAAAAGTGACCTTATCATACTAGAATATTGATTGACATGTTTAGTAGGAACTACTTGTTCGATGATCTGTTAAATCCATGGGAGAACCCCAGCAACCTAACCTTCTTAAACGTTCTACATACCTATTAATGTCATTCAGCAAGAAATACCCAAACGCCTCAATATTGTTATATCAAGCACTTTTGTAAGTCAGTTTAAAAAGATTACTACACACTCAGTTATTTCGTTATCATTCATTAAACAATCCCCCATTTCGTAGTATTTGTTATGTGACAAAAATAGCATATACACTTTTTACCATAGCTGCTAACCTAAACAGCCGTTAACGCTCAATAAATTCTTAATTAAATTACGCTTAAAGCACTTAAATGTACCTTAAAAATGTAGTAAAGTCTGTGGAAGTATTGGAAAACAGCCAGAATTGTTTTAATTTCAGTTATATTACCTGCTCTCGCCACATTTTTTACTATTAAGTTCTTTAATCAAAAGCTGTATTAAGTTGGAAAACAGTAACCGACACTAGGTTTGGAGATATCCAGATTCTACTCTCTGAGAACAACCGGAACTATGTGGAGCATATTTCAGGAAGTTGTCTTCCAACTTATATCAGTTTCTAGTAAGCACTATTACTAATTCAGTAGTACAAAGAAAAATATCTATCTGAATGTTAATCATTGGTTTATTCATAGTATCACTTGGATGTCCGAAAATCTATAATTCAAGTACATCTATGTTAATTGGGAATGTAAAGATCAGTCAGTCACTAATAAAACAATAGTTCTACACCGATATCACCATATAAAGTCGTTCAGCTTGTAGTGAGTTTCATTGTCACACGCCTGCATAGTTTGTTCTAACCTTTGAACAGACGAGTTATATTAGTCCCTCTAGTCGTTTGACCATTTATATATATGATCTTGAACATGTGTATATGTCAGTATCTGTGTTCATATACTTAGATGTACCTTTAATCCATATAAATGTTGAGTCACGTTTGACTAAACAAAATGATCAAGTTTGTCTTGCCTGCTTCTCGTCTCTTGTCTATCTGTATCAATGGGTGTATGAAACATATGTATTCAAAACCACTCTCGTATTTTTTCATCCTGTGATTCACTAACACGAAGTTTATGTAAGTATACGTAGTTAATTAAGGAACTATATTTCATCGTTCCTCATCAATATCAAATTGAGTCAACAACGAACATAAAAATAGTGTGTTACTTGATAAACTGTGATCCGTATCCGCTGAACACACAATGACTCTGCTAGTTGTTAAAACAGACGACTTCCAGATTGTGCACCTTAGTCTGTAATAATGCTTTCTGGAACTTCGAAATTAGCAATTTTATGTTTCACAAACTTTTCCGCCGTTTCAGGAGCAATGTTTTACAACCGGATTGCTCTTACCCATCTGGTGAATCGGCCCATACAGTTTAGTATATAAGTGAAATTATTGGGTGGTAAGTGTCCGAAAATATCGATATTCATATGCTCGGACTCCAGTCTGGTGCAGAAAATCCTCTTATAGGCGATACTACTACGTGTTGTTGGACTTCTGACATTACGTGCACGATTTCGTCCATATCTGTCGCTACTTATATTTGGGCAAACGGATGTCTTTGATAAGTTTTTTACGCCTGAGGGAGATATGCCATGAGATATCTCAAAAACGAGATGTCGCATTCTATGGTATACAAGCAGATGTTCTTTATCTTCAATTCTGTCTTATTCGATCCTCAAAATTCGTTCAGTTCAGTATCAGTCTTCTGCAGCTTTGAGATCTCGATGTAATTTATATCCGTTACAGTTAAACTATTAATGCTTGTCATTGATAAAGTGTCTGCAACGTAATATGTACTACCTACTACGCGCTATATATCATACGTAAATTGTGATATAAATTCTTATCGTGTTGTGAAATGATTATGCTCTCGTATAATTAGAAGTCTTTTTATTCAATGTAAGTGAGAATTACTGTTGTATTTAATGTTTTAGTTTTTCTGGATCCTGATCCTCTTAGAATATTTATCATCCCTTATTTGTAGGATCCAGCATTGAAGATGCTCATTCTGATAAAGAGGATAAAACTGATGATATTGGCACGCTCTCGAATTCTGTCAAAGAATGTTTGAACATTGCCTCACCAGATACCAACTCTTCTGTTCATTGCAGTTCGATAAAAACCGATGCTTAAATATCTCATTATTGAGACTTTTTTCATAAACAAATTCAGATCTGTTATACAATATCTAATTTTTTAGAGAAGATGTCTTAAATAATATCTTATTTGTTTCTCATTAAGTAGTTCGTTGAAGCCAGTTCTCAAATATCAAGCGTCATTTTTTGTCTTAATAATGCCCTATTCAGAGCTTAAATCTGGTAACTCTATTACAAATGATATCTACAAGTAGATATGAAATTTTACACCTTATTCAATTATTGTTATTTTAGTAGTCATGGGTCTACTAAAAGAGTAGTGAACTAAGTGATTGCAATTAATCTGGTTCTGTGTGTTTGTATATGATTTCTCCATAAAGCAGCAGTTGAACCAACAAGGTGATGCATACATTTATAGTTATTGTATCGTCTTTAGTTATTTATTTTCCAAGAATCCTTCTTTTTAAGTTAATTGGCAAGTGTTTTGTCAGTTATCAACATTTGATTTTAATCAACCAGGTTGATGAAAGGAGTTTTTACTCACAAACTGTCGCACTTCACATCTGCACATAGGATTCGATAGGCCCCAAATGCCCTGGTATGGTCGAGAGTGGGATGGACCCGCCCTCCCTCTCGAAATGCTCTCACACGGCCACGCGTATACAGCCTCTGCCAGGGAAGTCCTACTCACTGCCTTTTTGTGGCGGGGGTGTTGTTTGCGAAAATGAGAGGACGAAAAGCGAATGTCTGGCGCTTTAACCGGATTCCAAACCAATGGTGCACATGGGCTCCAGTATCCTGCGGGAGCAAATGGCGTATGAACCAATTGTTAGTCACCGGCTACCATGGGACTGCATCTTTTCATGATGCTTCGCTGCCTCGTGGGTCAGACCTTTTGGCCAAGGGCTCGGAGTGTGTCCCCCTAAGAGAACCACCTGCTTCGGTCTGGGCACCCGGGCAGTATCCCAGCCTACACACAAATATGATGAAATGTCAATATTTATGGAAAATACTTCTCTTGCTTTGATTAACAATCAAACGGTCCATATTATTATTATTCACGTCATCTATTCACTCTCTTTTATTTCCACTCTGTGTATCCTTATTTTTCGACTTATACAGCAGCTGGCCTATGGTGGAAATTCGGTTCTATCTGAACGATCTCGAGTCACTGCTTGGTCGAAAGTTGTATGCTTCCACCGAACACGAATACTGAAACAGTCTTTCTGAAACCACATACACGATTCAAACTGTCTACCTTCAACGTTCGCACACTTATGCAGGTTGGACAACAGATAGGGCTGGCTATGTCAGGCTGGTTTTCGTTCCGGTCGAGGATGTATTGATCATAGCTTTAGCCTTCGCCAAATGCTAGAACACCGTCATACTTACCAAAGGCCAGCAATCGTAGTGTTTCTCGACGTTAGGGCTGCCTTCGATTCGTTGGATAGGACTGTTCTCTGGGATTGTCTATTGAAGAAGGGTGTGCCTGAGAAGTTTAACATCCTAAAAGCCCTATACACAAGCATTTCAGGCAAAGTGAGGGCATACAACCACCTTTCTCCATTGTTCCATTCGAGCAGTGGGGTTAGACAGGGTTGCCCAATCTCACCATTCCTCTTCAACTTTGCCATCAATGTCATTCTGGAAACAACTCTGATGAATGTAAGTAGTGGCGGCGTGGATCTGTTGCCTGGAGAAAGACTTCTCGACCTTGAGTATGCGGATGATATTATCTTACTGTGCGATAATGCCCAAGGCATGCAATCCGCACTTAATCAGTTGGCAATCAGTGTCCGTAGGTACGGTATGTGCTTTGCACCTTCGAAATGCAAACTACTTCTACAAGACTGGCAGGTTTCTAATCCTGTACTCACCCTAAATGATGAGCAGATAGAAGTAGTCGAGAAGTTCATGTACCTGGGAAGCTGCATAAGTGCTGGTGGTGGTGTGAGTGATTAGTTAAATGCACGTATAGTGAAAGCCAGAGCGGCTTATGCCAATCTGGGCCATCTTTGGTGCCTTCGTGATGTTAGTCTGGCTGTAAAAGGTCGGATCTACAATGCGTCAGTGAGAGCAGTTTTGCTCTATGCTTGTGAAACCTGGCCTCTCCGAGTTGAGGATGTTAGACGACTCTGTGTTTTATCATCGTTGTCTCCGAAGGATTGCTGACATCCAGTGGCAACACCATGTTAGTAATGCAGAGGTTTGGCATCGTGTGTTCGGGTGCAGAGACGATAATCCAATTGGTGTCACCATCTTGAAACATCGACTTCGGTGGCTTGGACATGTTCTACTAGTGTCGTCCCAAAGAATCCCACGTCGTGTATTATTTGCGGACTTTGGGACTGGTTGGAAAAAGTGGAGAGGTGGTCAGTGTATGACATGGTGTCGGGGTATTAAAAAAAGCTGTAAAGGGCTGGCTTGTGTTGGTCCTTCACGACTCCCTGGCTTGGGTTCGAGAGATGGTGCAACACAGTGGCTAGAGACATTATCAGATATGGCTCAGGATAGAAGCCAATGGCGATCCTGCTGTAACCTTCTTTTACTTTCTTCATAAAAATTGGTTGTATCTTCCCTAACTGAAAGAATTCTTCTGGTTGTACCTTTCCGTTTCTCCCATTATTACTATTACGCTACCTTACACTAATCTGTTCGTTTTTGTTCTTTTTTTCTCTTCGAATTCTCATTGTTTTGTGTGGCGTATATATATTTGGTGCCCTGTTGTACCAATATTTATGTGTTCAAATAAAATAAAAAATTAAACATCTGGCTGGCCACGTCTCAGAGTCATCACTACCTCACTAGTGGGAGTAATCCGCAGTGGTAAATAAATCCTCAAAATCAGTACCTCTGTAAGTCTTTGACATTTGATGCTGACCACATTGGTTTCAATGGATTAACCTAGTTGGAAGCGCTCGGCCATGCATTCGCATCAGATCACGAGTGGAAACGCTGTGCTCAACTTCTGCTGCAATCGCTAGCCAGTTTAGATCAGTCGATTCTCGATATATTGATATCCTGTCAAATATATTTTCTGACCTCCTCGCTTCTGACTTTTGATTTCACTTGGTGGGCACGATTCATAGTAGAAGGTGTTACTGGTTACATTGTTTTCAAACTCCGAATACCTGTGGCATCTTCAGTCACATGATGGAGTGCCTCAAATTATATTTCAGTATCTATCCACAAGTGGCTCACATATGAAGTCGAAGTGTTGGATATGAGAAGGTAATGCGAATTGGAAACGTCAATTCGGTCATAACACTGCGACATAGGGACTCTTTATTATATCTTAGGTGGGAAGGTAGTGTTGAAAATTCTATGGTTCGAATTCCAGATAGTGTTTTCAGTACACAACCGACATGTTAATCATATACAACTCCAAGACCCGGGTGAGTTCGTCCCGATTTGTTGATTCTAATACTACTGAGTAAATTCTAAATCATACTGAGTCCGTATCTATTGCGCAGTCAGACAGAAATGCAATGAACCTAAGGAAAAGAGGTTTAGTCGATTACTGAAATATGGATTCTCATTCAGGTTGCGGAGGAGGTGATATTTGCATGAACTAATGATTCCTTTGTTGTTGATTTCCCAGTGAATATGAATTTGAAATGTAATACGTTCATCTGTGCTCATCTAGTTCTACTTTCTGCAAATTGCACTATTTCGGGAATGCATGATTATTACAATAATTCAAATAATCGTATTTACTTTGATAGTGACTAAAGAAGCACGTAGTTTTGTAGGATGGGAATCTCATGGACTTACGATCATTAAAGCATATTTCGAAACAAAGAAGTGGGGAATCACAAGAAATGTTAGTCAATATTATGTTGTTACAGGGGAACTGAAGACATTTGGCTGGTTATAAACTTTATACTGAATATTATCGATTTCACTGGTTTTTTAGATGTATTTGTTTTACTCAACTTCTGAACTTGTTTGTTCATATCATTATTTTCGGACATTTTGGTTTCTCTTTGTCTTTGGTTTAATATTTGAGAGTTTCTTCTCCGGTTTGTTTCGATAATTGTTATAATTACTGTTAGAACGACATTTGGGTCGACTATTTGTAAATTGTGAATAAACTTTGGTACCTGGATTGGGGCTTGGTCCTATTGTTGACTTGGGTTCAAAAATTGCAAATAGGTCGATGTACCGTACTTCAGTAACGGGAACGAGCAAAAACTTGAACGTCACATGTAGTGTCAGTTATTATGGCAAGCCCATATACCTTATTCTAATTTCCGGACATCCTATTTTATTCATTTCACTTGAGCCATATTTTGACCTTGTCAATTATTCGCTTATTAGCCTTGACTGTTTTCACATGAGCGTATATGAGTGTACACTTCATGTCCCATGATTCATTGTATGTCTGTAGCTTATCTTGTCTGACTATAAATATGGAATAACACTTGACTAAAAGGGAGTTGGCTTCTCAGCCATCTTCCATACGCGTCATTATTGCTTTGTTATGGCTCTCGCTCGCTTAGCATGCGAACGGGCATCTTCAGTGGTAAGCCCGCCGACGACGAACGCAACGCAGCAAGCTACGTCGATGAAGGAACTTCTGCACCTTATACGTTCGACGAACAAATTCAGCGAAGCCAGCGCAATCTCCAATCTGACGCAATCAGCACAGCCTGTGCAACATGACATGGACATGCTCAAGTCGTATTATCTTATCGATACTTTGTCCTCACGTCAATTATCCTCATTGATACATTTTTCGGATTGTCCCATTACGATTCAAATTATCATTATATGCTTATTATTACATTATTATCAATATCATGACCGAATGTGGAATTATTAATCTTGTTCGTGCTGTCATTAAATTATGACATTTTCGCAATCATATTACTCACCGAACAAATTATCATTTTATGAAAATTCCACTCCACTTTGTGAGAACTCATTAGGATATTTTTACTATTCAAAAACGTGAAATTTTCCTGCTTTAAGTGAGTTCGTTCCAATTTTTTTTCATGTCATTTTGATCTCATATTACATTCATTCACTTAGTCG